TATTATAGCACAGTCCAAGAGCACTCAGTAAAGAGGACTTAGCTACACTCACGATCTTGGCACACGTTAGCAGGATCTAATGAAAAATTACAGCTGAAAGGTTCCAAAATGAGGACTGAAGCCCCAGCATGCCAGGAGCTGCTGAAACTTTGGCATACGGGCACCCCACTGGATGCAGGACCAACGCTGAAATCTCGTCCTATGCACGAGGTTAAACCAGACAGTCTTAAGAGTTTCTCTGGTCTTACAAAAGATAAGATACAATGAAATTAAATAATTAAAATTGGCCATTGGTAAAAATCTGACTTTTGGACCCACTGTGATCTCCTTTAAAGATGAATTTTGGCCAGCTAAGTAGCAGCCAATGCAGTATCTGAGATCAGCTCCCAGATACGTGGAACATGCCTGAAACAGAAAATAATCTCTGACCTAGAAAACTGGAAGGCAAATGTCTGACCGCAGACCTGCCCTCCCCTGTGCCCGCCCGAGATCAGACGATCGAGCAGCTCCCGGGCACCAACACCTGCCTGACGGGACGCGCTTCCTCCCACCGTCGCACGGAGCCCCCCACCACGGCCACGCAATGTGGAAGGGCAGCAAATAACTCCCATGAGCTCCTCACGCTTGCTAGACCACGACCCGCACAGACAGATGGACGCACGGATGCTTGCACGCCAAGCCAGCGTGCGCAGCAAGCGCCTTGCCAAGCCCGGGCCCTGGGGCTAATCTCGGCCACCCTGGCAGCACGGTTCCCCCATGTTCCTGCCCCTGCTTTACACCATCATTACTGCCTTCACACTTTGTGGTGCAGCTGCAGAAGGAGCTCATCCTTCGGGGTAGGTTTACCGACCCAGCAAGCAACTGCAGCCACATTTAGGCACCATAGCTCCCTGAAATGAAGCCCACAAATGAAGAGGGTGGTACCCTACTTCTCCCCCAAAAGGAGGAACTCCTAATGAAAGCCCTCCTTCAATCTCTTCAGTCGCTAACGACTTCCATCACCAGCACCTACTTTCACAGACTGAGAAGACTTCACGCTACGCTCTCTTATTTAGCAAGATTCGAGCACTTCAGGAGGAAGCAGCCCCCAAAGGCCTGGTCCTCCAGCCATGGAAGGGATAACCCTATCTACCGATGGCCCAGGCCCTGACTGCGCACCGGCAAGGCTCCGGCAATGCCGGCACCTCCCAGCACCAGCGAACACCCTCGGGATGCAGCTCCACAACAGCCGTGTGGGTGTAACACAAGCACCACGCATACGCCAAGTTTTGCTTCTCGCTTTTCTTTCTTTTCTTCCCAGCATTGACTGTGGCTGCTTAAAGGCAAAAAAACCATGTCTTTACAGAAAAGCAGGGGCCACAGTATTATTCTTGACAGAATTATTGAAGTCCAAAGCAGACCATGCAATCAGTTTGGGTCAACGACGCAGCTGATGCTGATCTTCTTTCTCAAAGAAAGGAGAGGCTCGAGAAATTCCACAGCCTGAAGGCAGCACGGGTGATGCTGAAGGGGAGCTCCTATATCATAATATAGGAGATAAGTGATACAGGAATGTAACCATCTGTATGGATTCGACCACAATATTCAAAGAGTAGTAAGTACAGAGAAAAGTTTCCTAATGCCAAGATCTACTTGGCAGAGGGTAACTTCTCTTAGGGAATCACAGAGTTCTGCCTGAAAGATTTAATATCGGAGCAGGAGATGCACCACAGCGGGAAAAGTCCTGTTGTATTGGGAGAAGCAAAGGAGAAATCTGAATTTTTATGCATGCATGATACTGTGAATTCTATGAAGTGCACTGATCTCTGAATAAATCAAACTAAACTGGAGGCGTGCAGCATCACGCCATTGGCATGCAAAGCTGTAATCACCCTCCCCTCTCTCTGGAGCTTTCATCCTCAGCCTGGTCACCCAGAGGACAACTGGGAGGAAAACCAGCGACTTTCTGCCTGTTTTAGAGGTAACTTGGCCAAGTTTTAGCTAACCGGGAGAGGAAAGTGTGCTTATCAGTGTAGCAAAGCCTTTAATCGCCACTGTCTTCTAGTTCCAGGAAATGGAAGACAGCACGTTCCTCCATAGCACAAAGGGTGGATAAGATCAGCTTCTGGAGCTCAGGAACCCCCTTTGTATCCGTAAGAACAACACAGGATTTTGGCCCAGAGCTAAGCATACACTTTAACTTCTGTTGAACTTCACAGCCGTACCGAAGAGAAAACAAGCGCTGGAGGATTTTGGCAAGCGAGCTGGAAATGAGCAGATAAGGACTGATGAGTTCAGCCGTGGTTTCATTACGCTTCCACTGGCGAGACGCAAGGCTTTGGCAGCAAGGCTGAACGCAGGACCGAGGAGGACTTCACTCCTAAT